TAAACAGCATATCAATAGTGCTAAAAATATTTCCATAGCCTACTGCCATAGGGAATTTGATAACAATATATAATAAAATGCACAAATAGGCAGAAAATTAATGGATTGTGTTCAAGTGATGAATGCTGTCCCCCCATGGCAAACCCAATTCATAGTTGACAGAGAAATTTTTAAATTACACACAAAAGATTTAAAACTTGATAGCAGTTGTCAGTGACACAAATGGTAAAATACACAAGTGGTGATAATAGATAATGGGATTATACATTTTATTTTTACTTATATGCTTATTGTAGCTTATATTAGTTTAGTAAAATTATGTTGGAATCTTATGTTTAAATTTAAATTTGTGGATTATAATAGGAAAAAGAAGTAGTTACTGAGTAATATATAATTTAGCACATTCCTAAATATTAGAATTCATTTATAATATGATTTTTTTATATTCTCAGAACTTTGCTTTCAGGATTCTTGTGGTGCTAAAATCTTCAGATGCTAAGCGCCTTACATAAAATAATACATACCTACAACTATATACATATGCTTTATATATTTTATATACTTTATATAATCTCTCAATTATTTGTGATGCTTAATATATTACCAGTATTATTTAGCTTTTTCTTATACTCCATGGTTGAGAGAAAATGACAAGAAAAATTCTGTATGCTCTCAGTGCAGATAAAATTTAGAAAAAGTATTTTCAGTATGTGGTTGATTAAATATGCAAATGTGAAATCCACAGATAGGTGGACACCTATAAGTTTCTACATTTTGAAAATGTATCAGTGATTTTTTAAATGACACAGCACTGGTTAATCCATATGTGTGAAAATTAATGTTATAAGAACTTACAAAATAAATAAATGAATGAATAAATAAATCTGATGCTTTCAAAACTTTTTAAGAGGTTGGTTTGGAAGGAAAACAAAGAAAGAATTGAGGTATGTAATATGCATGCCCTATTTTCCCAGAAGGAACATAGGCATTATGTACAGCAAACATGTAGTATTAATAAAATTTTAAAAATAAATAAAAATAGAAGTGCAGAGTGCTTAAACACTCAAGAAAAAAATCACATGGAAAACCTTGCTTTATCAAAGATGGTGTAATCCTTGGCATAATATCAGCTAATCAGGATTAAAACTTTTGTTTTCCCTATAAATTGAGAAAATATAACAATTTCTATCTGTGGTTTCTAATCACTTGGTATTATATTTGATATAAACCTATGAAATATTGTATTATGGAACTATGACATTGGTATTGTATCCAATATAAGCTTATGAAATATTACATTATGGAACTATAAAATTGATACTTAATTTGTCATATATGCTTCTTGTAAATGTCCAAGAATCACAATAAATCATGGGTTTACTTTAGGAAAAGAAATACAAGTTTGTAACTCAGATATTATGAAGTATTTCAGTTATACCAACAGCATATACCATTATATTCAATTGAAAATGCAAGTTACAAATATTTAAATATGTTACAAAATCAATTACGTCAAATAATTTAATAGTCATTGAAGAAACAAAAAATAAGGGCAGTAACTACTGATACTCTGTGCCTTTTTATGTATAAGTTTGTAATAGCAAATAATCTGTGTGTATCCTTGAAATACCACTTCAAACGTGGCATATATTTATATACACATAGTTGTTACACTCAAGCACATTTATTGGAGTAATTTCCCACAACACTGATCTTGAAAATATTTAAATAAAACATAAGAATTCATGAGTTTGAAACATATGGAGATTTATATCATTCCCACAGCTTTAGCAATCTCTCCAGTTACTGAAAAAATATGGGAACTAAATGCAACACTGATTTCCCTAAATTGTTTTCCTGAGACACTAATCATCAGAATCTGCAGACAAGCCACCGAGGACCAGCATGCGAAAATAGAACCAGCGCTGATTGCTTTGATTGTGTGCGCATCTGCTCGTCTCATCATTTGTTCGTTTACTTTAATTTGTTGCAAAAACTTTATCATATTTTACAAAACATTCATAAAATTATTAATAAAGCAGCTACTTGTTTGTTTTGGCTTAAAGGAAAATCTCAGGAAAAAGAAGAGTAAGAAGAAAATTGGTTATATTTATATTCAATTTGGTGCCTCAATTTGGTGCTTCTTATCTGTGTTCACTGGAAAGGGAAATATTGCTTTTGATATTTTAAACAGCACAGAGAATTCAATAGTACTGACAAAATAAATAGAGATAACTGTATCTTTCTTTCTTTCTTTTTTGCTGAGACAGGGCTCACTCTGCAGTCTGGCTGGCCCTGTACTCACAGAGATCCTCCTGCCTTTGCCTCCCACCACATCAGATCCTTTTTATGTTCAAAAAAAAAAAAAAAAAAAAAAAACTTAAAACTTCGAAGTCATTTAAGGGCCTCAATGAAGATATCACTTTTGGCTATGCATTCTAAAATAGTAATAACATTTTCTCAAAAATTAAAGATACTAAACTTTAGGTTTTCAAAATATCATGCAATTGTTTATGTATTAAGGGCCCACCAAACAAAAATAAATAGTTAAAGTCACATTTCAGGATCAGGTCATTTGTTAGTCTACTTTTCCCCTGAAGCAGTAAAATTCTCAATTTTTCAATTTGTCTGTAAACAGAATTTCACAGGGCCAGAAAATTAACTGACATCCACTTCCTCGTGCATTTTTCTAGTGTTATAAACTGAATTGTGCTCCCCCTCAGTTGTATGTTTCAACCAAAAGCCAAATGTGAGCATATCTGTAACAAGAATCCAAGTAAGTTGAAAAGCAGTTAAGTAATTTAAAATCAGAATAGTGGTACCCTAACCATTGGCATAGTTTACACAAATGATTCTTTGTTTCTCTGTGTGTGAGAACAAAAAAGAAAGGTCAGATGAGGGTACAGCAAGACCCAACATCATTGGAGAAACTAATCAGCTGTTGCCATAACCTCAGTCTTCTTGTTTTCAGAAATGCAAGAAAACCAATTTCTCTGTGGCAGCATTAGCAGACTGAAATATCTAATGCAATTTCCAAATAAGAGAACCTTATTATCTATTTTCCAAGAAGACTGAAATTTTTCTAGCCACTTTGAGCTGATATAAACCTTGCTTCATAGGCAAATCTGGAAGCCAGAACTTGGTTTCTAACATATTTCTTATACCTTCGGATGCAGAAATCAAAGCTTCTATGAAAGTAGCCGAGTATCGAGATGGGGAGGACAAAATACAAACCGTATCACTAGCACCCTTTCTGGCAGAAAGCAAGTGATGCAAAGATAGAAGGACAAGAATATGTGCAAGGAACACAAAGCCACTCTGAAAAGTTCCTAATGGCAAGAACTGGAGAACTTAATTAATTAGAAGAGATGCAGGAATTCATAATGTTATAAATAAATGCACAACTGAATGAATAAATAGAGACAAGGAATTTCTGTTCCTTACAGAAATTTCTGAACTACATCCATGGATATTCCTTCCCAATTAGAGTGACCATAATTTTACTATAACTTAAAATGTGAGCTGGACTTGTGACGTATACTTCAATGACTTCTGAATATAGAAAAAGAAAAATTGTTGTTTTACACTGGAAGAGAAAAACATTAAACACTGTTTTGCCAAATTGAAATAATAATTCGGGTTGTATTATTTTGATACAATCTATGGCTGGTAAGAAGCCATTAAGAGAAATTTTTATTTGTGACAATCTATCCAAAACTACATGACTGTTCAGGGTCTGAGAAAAATACCCCTCAAGCCTACATTTAAGAGAGCAAGTTATCTGACCAGAATTCTTTTATATTGTTTAGTTCTTGAAAAAAATAAAGACTGAAGTATCACAGAGAAAATTAGAAGAAAACATTCTTGTGTCCTGGATAGATGTTGGAACAAAAAATATAATTTATGAAAAACTGGTGCACTTCTAAAAGCTTGTACAGTGAGCTATGTTCCCAATTCCTTTTTTATTTGTTTTTAGATTTTAAGTCCTTAAGCCACTAGTTGCTAAGATGGGCTCAAAATTTGTCAACCACTTGTCTCATTCTACCAGAGTGCTGTGTTTAGAGCTAAGTGCTACCATGCTTGACTTAGTTTGAACATTAGTTAAAATAATTTTCCAACATCTATTTCTTAATTGTTAGCATATTTTTTCCTAACAACATAAAAACATTCACATTACTAGAGACTGGGTGAGGAGTACATGGAAATTTTATTATTTTTGTAATATTTCAATGAATATAAAGTTATGAAATCTCACTAAAATACAATTTTAGAGTTCCAAGAAGAATAATTATAGTTATAAACACTAAAGCTATTTATCTTTGACTACTATAATATGAACAAAAGTCAAATTTGTCAGAAATTATCACAAGCATGGAACATAGCGCAATGAAATTGGAAATATGTAACAAAAAAACATAGCAAATTCATAAACACATTGTAATTAAATAACACCCTTCTGAACAATGAATGGGTCACAGATTAAATTAAAAGAAGAAATTAGACGGTTTCTTCAAATAAATGGTCATGCCAATAAAACTTACTAGAAAGTATGTGATTCAGTCCCATGAAGGAAATTTGCAACAGTGAAGTCCTTTGTCAGAAAAAGAGAAGCATAAATAGCCTAGTGCTGGACCACAAGCTTTGAGAAAACAGAGCAAGACAAGACAAAAGCTTGTAAGAGTGAGGAAATTATAAAGATCAGAAATTAATAGAGTGGAGACTAAGAAAACAATACAAAAAATCAGTGATTTGGAGAATTCATTCTTTGAAACATTAAATAAAATTGGCAAATCCTTAGCCAAGCTTATAAAAAAAGGAAAGGAAGATTAAAATTCATGCAAGTAATAATTACAAAGGTGAAATCACAACAGACTTTGTGGAATTCCAGAAAATCATCAACACCTATTTTAAGAAACTGTATTGTCTTAGTTACTTTATGCTCATCGCTGAGACAAAATACCTGAAGCCCAAAGTTGGGAAAGGAAAGGTTTATTTCTTACAGTTTTTGGAGGTTTCAGTCAACACTCAGTTGTCTCCAAGACAGGCAGGCATGGCTGGGCTGCAGTTCATGGCTGCTGCCAGCAGCAAACAGGAACTAGCAAAGAGAGAGACACACCTTCTTCCTGCCATTGCATCACATCCTGGCTCCACCCCTATGTGGGTGGAGCACTGACACCATCAAGCCAAGCACTATACAATGAACCATCACATATGAACAATGCAAACTCATGAAGCTTGGGGGACACAAACATAAACCATGACATGTATTATAATAAAATGGAAACAGAAGAAATGGGAAGATTTCTAGATATATGAATTACCAAAGCTGATTCAAGATAAGATAAAATTTTAAACACACCAAAATTAGTCAAAGAAATTGAAGAAGTAATTATAAATCTACCAACAAAGAAAAGCATATCAGAAAGAGGAAAGATGTCCCTTGTCCTTGGGTAGGAAAAGCCAATTCTGATGAATTCTATATACATTCAGAGAAAAAATTATCCCACTAATTCTCAATATTATAAAAAAATGAAAGGGAAGCAAAACTACAAAATTAATTCTTAGAAACAAGCATCACCTTGATATAAAAATCAAATACAAAACTAACTGAAAAAGAGGATGATAAGTCAATCCTCCTCATGAAAATAGATGCAAAAGTTCCCAGTAAAATGCTGGCAAAAAGAATTTAGCAAATCATAAGGATTATATACCATGATCAAATGAGATTCATACCAGGAATGCAGGAATGGTTCAACATATGCAAATCAATTAATGGAATACACCATATCAAGAGCCAATTCATATGATCATCTCAATAGTCGCATAAAAAGAGCTTGACAAGATCAAACACTCATTCATTATAAAAGCCCTACAGAAAATTGGAAAAAAAATTGTTCTTTATTGCAATCTAATAAAAGCCATCTATGACAAACAAACAGCTAACATCATAAAATAAACAAAAACAGAAATCCTTTACTGTAAAATCAGGAACAAGATAAGGATGTCCACCTTCACCACTATTATTTGATATAGTCATAAAACAGTAGCCAGAGCTATCTTGGCACTAGACAAGACAGTAGACAAGAGAGAGAAAGAAACAGAATAAGGGTAGGCAAGAAAAAAGTTAAATTACCATTATTTTCAGACAGCCTAGTACTTTACATAGAAAACCCAGAAAATCCTACCAAAAGACTTTTAGATTGAGTAATCAAGTTCAGTAATGTAGGTGGATATACTGACTCAAAACTCGAAAATCAAAAGCATTCCATACACAAGCAAAAATTCACTGAGAGAAATCAGGGAAACAACACTTTTCATAGTAGCATACAAAACAGGGAAATACCTAGGAATCAATCTAGTGAAGGAAGTAAAAGACTGTAACTCTGTGAACCACAGCACTGTGAAACAGAAGATTGAAAAGCATATTGGAAAATGGAAACAGGTCCCTTGTTCTTGGATAGGAAAAGCCAATATCATGAAAATGACCATACTTCCAAAAATGTTATGCAGATATAATGCAATCTTGATCATAATTCCAATAGCATGTCTCACAGAATTAGACAAAACAAACCTAGATTTAATTTGGAACTAGAAGACACCTAGAATAGCAAAAGCAATCCTGGGCAACAAAGCAAATTAAGAGGCATCACAGTCCCTGAATTGAAATTATACTAAAATTCAATGATTAAAAAAAAAAAAAAAAAAAAAAAGGAGAACCGTATAGGAGGATCAATGGGAGAGACTAGAAAATGCAGAAACAACTTGACACACTTAGCCAATTTAATGTTTCACAAATTAGTCAAACTCCTTCACTGAAAGATAGCCTCTAGTAAATGACAGGGAAAAACTGCTTTAGACACGCTGTAGGTTAAAACTAGATCAGTATCTTTCACCATGCACTAAACTAAAATTGAACTGAATCAAAGATCTAAATATAACATCAAATATACTAAATCTGCTGGAAGATAGAATAACTAGAACTCTTGAAGACATAGAAATAGGCAAAGACATTATGAGCAAAACCCCAATAACATGGGACTATCACTGAGATTCAATAACTGGAATCTCAGCTCATTAAAACGCATTTGCACAACAACGGAAACCACCAGCAGAGTGTAAAACCAGCCAACTGTGTGGGAAAAGGAGTCAGCTGTTTCTAAGATAAAGGAGTAATTCTAGATATATAAAGAACTCAAAAAAATACTTCCCCCAGTTTAAGGACCCAATCCAAAAATGGGCATCTGAAATGAAAAGACACTTCTCAGATGACGAAGTATAAATGGCAAAGTAAATATATAAAAATGTGTTCAACATTACTGGTTATTGTAGAGATGCAAATGCAAATTCAAACAATGCTGAGATTCGATCTCACTCTAGAAACAATGGCTATTATTAAGCAAACAACCAAAAACAAATGCTTGTGGGACTGTGTGGGAAAAGGAACACTTCTCTATTGTTGATGGGAGTAGAGACTGGTACAAACATTGTTAAAATCAGTGTTCAGATCCCTCAAAAAACTTAAACTAGGGTTTCCATTTGACCCACCTATTCCACTTCTTGGTGTCATCCTGAAAGAATTACAACTATTATACCATGGTACTACATGCACACCCATGTTTATAGCAGCACAGTGTGCATTAGCTAAATCTTGGAGCAGCCCAAATGCCCATCAATCAATGAATGGATAAAGAAGATGTGGGGGTTTTTTATACAATAGAGAACTACACTGCCATAAAGAATCATAAACTTGAGACACTTGTAGTTAAACTGGCACACCTTGAGTGAGACTATACTCTTAAGTGAAATAAGTCATACGTGCATGTTTGAATCTGCATTGCTTTTCTGGTGTGAGCAACCAAAAGGGTAAAAAAGGACCAAAACGTATAATATATAACTGAGAAATAGGAACAGAATATTCAAATAAGGAAGAAAACAAGAAGGGATAAGAAAAAAAAGGAAATAGAAGGAAACAACAATATTTTCATTGTCAGAGCAATGCAATGGAAATTGCATAAATATTCATAAACAAATAAAAGCTCAAGTAATTTATTATATGAAAAAAACTGCTAGAGTTCTCATAGCTTGATCCAAAATAAAAGATCCAATTTGTAAATCATTAAGGAAAAACCAGCATAGAAAAACGTTTATGAACACAGACACCAACACTGTCAAGGCTCATTGGAGAGACTAGCAGCTGGAAATTTTAGAGAACAATCTCCATACTGCAAAACCTGTAAAGAAACTGGCATGTGTTTTTCTTGTGGAAGTCATTTTCTACATTTGTTTGACTGCAAGAAGGAGAAAGTTTCCAAGAAGGAGACAGGTGAAGCAACTACAGCATCTCCCAGACAGATCAGCCTGGCCAAAGTCAGTGCAACTGAGAATGAAGTAATTTTTAGGTAATGAAAACCCAAATATAAGTAGGTGCTTCTACAGTCAATGTGTTTTTAATTTTCCTCAGCTCTTCTTACTGTCAAGGGTACAGTATATTACAGTTATCCATCTTATGTTACTGTGCAATTACAGCAGACTCTCTCATTCCTAGCTGAGACTGCTAGAGTGGATTAGCTCTTCTTGATTCCCCTGCACCACTGTTTTCTCCGCAGCCTACAATAGGCACCATTCTACTTTCAAGTTCCACGTAATTAATGTATTTAGGTTCCATCTATTAAAAATGTATTGCAGTATGTGTCTGTAGGTGCCTAATTTATTTCACCTGAAATAATAATCTGTAGTTCCGCTCATCACGTTGGAATTGAGAGAATTTCATTCTTTGTATGGCTGTACAGAGTTCCATTATGTATGCGTGTTACATTATCTCTATCCATTCATGACTAGGTGAACACTTTGGCTGTTTCTTTTTCCTCAGCTATTGTAAATAGCATTATGATAATTGTATGAGTGCAAATGTCTCTTTTGCATATGGGTTTCATTTTCTAAATAGTCATGGAGCTGCTACATTTGATAGTAGTCCTATTTATAACTTTTTAAGGAACATCTATACAAGTTCCAATAATGGCTGCACAAATTTATATTGCCATAGACACTGTACAAGAATTCTCCTTTTTCCATAGTCTCAACAGCCCTGGTTATCTTCAGATTTCTTTGTAGCAGCTATTCATTTGCGGATGATTTTTGGGGGGAGATGGGAGATGAGTTTTGATTTGCATTTCCCTGATGCTAGTGGAAAGGTGCAGAACATTTTTACATGTGTCTCTTGGTCTCTATTATTTTAGGGCCACTGCCTTTTTAGTTTTTTTTTTTTAATTAAATATATGGATTTTTAAAAATGAATTACCTATCTATTCTACATATCAATACCATGTAAATATATAGCTTCCAAATATTTTCTCCTGTTATGTAAGATGTCCCTTAAAACAATTTGATGGAAATGTGTCTATTTGTATTTTCATTTCTATGCTTTAAAAGTTGAATTATGATCTTCACATATAACAAAATATGTTTTATGGGTTTTTTTGTAGGAAATGTCTGGGTGAAAACTACTATTATTGAGTATGAGCTACACAAAGATGAACACACATACATACATGCCATCACACATATATATGTATATATTTGACAGGGATCTAAGAAAAAGATAAGTAAATACAGCACATATATAAATGTTTCTGAGGAAATAGAAAAAAATAGCAGTAAAATAATGTCTTACATCATTTGATAAAATGGGAGGTGAATATCTGAAACGAACAGCAAGTAATATAATCATTATTATTTGAATAAAATTATAGCAATATCCAAAATCAGGTGGTGAAAAAAATTGATGACAATGGACAGTATGAAAGAAATATATTCGTTAACTAGAATAGGTCATAATAAATATCTTTTTTATAAACTATAACTAGTGTTATTATTAAAATTGTGATCAATTTAATCACTGTAGTCTTTATACTTTCCTTAATATTAAAAATAGATATACAGATATAAATAATACACATAAAATGAAATGATTGATTTATAAATAGAAAGTAACGTACAAAACTATGGCACAAGCCCACCTAACCATAACTATTCTAAACTATAAAATAGTGAACCTAAGGAAAACAAGGAAGTAGAGGTG